CACACACACACACACACACACACACACACACACACACACACACACACACACACACACACACACTTCCCCTCGCCTCGTTTTATCACCCTTCCTCCTCTACATACCCTTATCCATCCATCTCTCCCCCCCTCCCTCCCTCCTCTGACTTCATATCAGCCTTCTTCCCCCAAGTTCTCTCACCTTGTTTTCCGGCGAGGGAAAGTGTAAATTGTGTTGCTTTAAATACCCGTGTCTTCCTCGGGCTTACAGCTCGGAGGAAAGAGAGGGAGGGGCGGGGGGAGAGAGTTAAAGAGTGGAGGAATGGATGTAGAGGAGAGAAGAAAGAAGAAGAGTAAAGCCACAGTGTTTAACTTAACGTCTGCTAAGGATAGATAGGTCTCTCCTTTCATTTTTTTCCACAGCTCGGGTGTTGTTGCTTGACTTAACTGTTTAAACTCTTGCTGAACTTAATTTCCCCTCTTTAACTTCGCTCTTAAGTAGCTTCAGAAGGTAAAGGGGGAACAGCTGGATCTGGATCTGAGGCTTATATGAGGTTGTATTCTACTGGTGAGCTCTGTAGTGAGTACGGTGTGGACGGGCGGAGGAGTTTGTTATGTGTCCGTCGTGAAGCCTGATGCAGCTAAACCCTGATGCAGCTATCCCCATCAATCTCAAATCTGCACAAATCAATTTGACACACTCGTAGAGGATAATACACGACGCTGCTACTGAACTTTACTCAAGTCATCTGTGATTAATATTTGACTGGCGGGGCCTTCTGCCTCTTTAATACACTTCACAACATCAAGTGATTTGTATTCATACGTGGAGCTTTTTGGTGTTTACTGCACAATGTGGTTTTTCAGTCAAATATTTAGGCCGTATGTCCACTCCGTAAGCGAGCGGTAATAAAAGATGTGTCTGTAAGCGTCATGGTTTAGTGTCAGAACTTTTGGTATCCTATACTTTGAATTCACGGCCAAGATTTGTCAATTTTTTTGTGTGATAATTTTGGCTTTCAACTTAAACGCAACAAGTTTAATTTTTTTAAAGCAATGCGTTCATTATTTGTAGTTGTATGAATCACTTGCTGTTTTGTTCCTTTTGCTGTACCGTAGTTAAGCCACAGCAGAATCTTCCTGCAGCCCGGGGCTGGAAAATAACAACTAGCTGCACCTTTCAGTGGCTCGTTTTACACACAAAACAACAACACACTCGCAGACAGCTCTGTTGACGAGTCAAACGTAACAGCTAAAGGGAACAGTTTAAAAAGCTAAATGTTTGATGTCATAAGGTGGATATTAAACTGTTCCCTTTAGCTGTTTAACTTCCTAATCCATCGAGATTTTCTTGTTCCATGGTTAAGTAAATGTGCTACCACGTGAAATCTACCGCACATTATTTATTTTTATTCAAAATAAAAGCAGTTTTTTTTAAGCAGGAAATAAAAGCACCCAGGCTAGAGACAGTACAAACTACAAAATAAAAGCATGACCGAAACCGTTTTGAAATGGTGATTAATGGAATTTCAAACGTGCAATTAAAAATGTGATTCTATTGAAATTCATTGATTCATCTGGATTTAAAATCTAACTGTTTGACACCCCTAGAAATAATTATTTTGCATTGCTATTAGCCTCTATTATTATCATAGTTTTGAATACTGTTGTTTTTGGTGCTGTCTGCACGCCTCCCCCCGTGTGTGTGTGTGTGTGTGTGTGTGTGTGTGGGGGGGGGGGGTCTGTTTGGCACCCCTCTCTTTCTCTCTCTCTTCTTCTCTCTCTCTTTTCCTGGTTTAGCCAGATATGCAGATGGCTGTCAGCCAATGAGCCGGTTCTGCTCAAGCTCTCTGCCTTAGAATAAGTTTTTCCTTACCAGTTGCAAAGTGTTTTCTCATTGGTCAATTAATGTAAGTCTTTGTAAATAATATAAAACAGAGTCTGATCTAGACTACATCTTTATGGGAAGTTTTCTGGAGTTCTCCAATTGATTGCTTAAATTGGTTGGCTATATTGAGATTTGATACATGATGCTGATGGTTGCTTCTACCCACACACTAGTGGAACTGAACTCAACATATCTGTGATTAATATTTGACTGGTAGGTCTTAAAGGCTCACTGCCTCTCTCATACACTTCACAACATCAAGTGATTTGTATTCCTAAGTAGAGCTTTAGATATTAGATGCAGAACGTGTTTAATTATCATTAAAAGGCCAGATGCTTAATGAGAGTGGGATGAAGTTATATTCATTAGCTTGCTTTCATCAATGTAGAAACTTTTGAAACTTAAATATTCTCTATTATAATCAGAGTTTTTACTTTGTTTCTCTGTTTGTTTCTCAGTCCGTCTCTCTTTCTCTGTCTGTCCTCTCTGTCCGATGTTCGGTTCTGCTTAAGGTTTCTGCCTCTCAGTGTTTTCTTCCCGCCTCTTTCCAAGCACTTGATCGCGGTGGATTAAGCTGATTTATTGTAAATAACTCCACAGAGAGTACGGCCTCGACCTGTGTCATTAGATAACTATTGCTGTAATTTAAAATTCTATCGGAGCAAATACTTATTGATTAGTTTATTGACTGCATGCACCTGAACTAATAAAGAACGCGCCACAGGTGTGTGCTTTTTTTACTTCCAGATATACTCTGCGGGTTCATGGATCGAGCTTGTCATCTTCCAGGTGCCTTCTCACTTATCTTACTTTGAGGCCACCGGGCTCCCGATCAATAACGTGAAATGAAAATAAACGACTCTGAAATGACCAGATAATAGAAAAGAGACAGAAATATGTAGAAATCGCACACACACGTTCCCACTAAATACACAGAATTGATCCTTTTCTCAGCACTATATGGTTCATCTTCAAGCGGAAATTAAAGCTTTGCCGAAGCATCAAAGGATTTAAAAAAAGGAACATGTAAAGATTTTTTTTTTTAAATAAACTATCCTATGACACTTCTTTTTAATTATCTCCTGAAATAAAAGAGCAGAAATATCTTCATATTTTGTCACTTAAAATAGCTTAATACCACTTTAACCTCAAACACAGGTTGTTTTCTGGCTCATGCATGCCATCACTCTGCAGCAGCCAAACATTAAACACAAGTTTTGGGCCAACTTGCCGGAGCTCATTGCGGTTGGCTTGATGAGTGATACACTGGGAAAGCCAATTCAGCCAAAGTGTTCATGCCAAGTAGAGAAGCTCTTACGATCAGCCGCAAGAATTAGCCCAAGATGCTATTAAAGGAGACACTAATCCGAGGTGCACTTGACCACACAGTCAGCCCTCAGCCATCATGGTGCTTAGATAAACTAACCACAAGGTCAGAGCTGCAGTAAAACACGACGAGCGAGCGAGCGAGGGGGAGAGAGACTTACTCTGACACGAGGAGCTCTGGAAGCCTCCGAGTGCAGAGCTGCCGCCTTAAAGACCTGTTATAGCTCTGAATCCTCTCAGCTCAGAGGCAAACCCAGGGCTTCGTTTTCCTCTCTAATATCTTGTGTTTTCTCAGAAGCTCTACTGACTGTCCAGCTTTTCTTTTCTTGTTTTCTTTCACTACTAACCCATAGCTACTTCCAGGTCTCAGCTCATTTACTGCAAACGTGTGATTCTGGAGCTACATGCAGTTTTAGTCTGCTCGCCTCCTCTTCTGCATCCTCTCTGAGCGTGTTTCCCCCCCTTTCTTTCATGCCTTGATGGGAGTTCCGCCGTGGCGCACTTAAGCAGATGTTCTTCCTGCAGAAAAAAAATAAAAAAATCAATTCCACCGCCGGTGCAAGGATGCGATAACGCTCCACGCCGAATATAAACCTGTCTCCCGCTTGACAATTTGGTTCCAATTAAACTATTTATACACGCCATGTCTTCAGGGGTGAGGAGACCGCTTTGAGCCACAGCTTCTTGCGAGATGTTCCCGCGGTTGGCTTGGTCTTGTTGTCAATTATGCCACATTTTTTTGTTTAGCCTGAGATTAGGTTGAGCGGCGCGCCGGCACGTATTTCTGAAGCGAGCACGGCTGGTTGTGCTCAAAGCTGCGGAGAAGTGACCATGTCCGCTATTACACTCCGGAACAAGCAGCTGCATTTCTTTCTTTTTTTTTTCTTTTTTTTTTAAAAGTATACGTCTTTTATTCTGATCCATGTAATCCTCTGCAGCGCCGACTGAATGCAAAATGCAGAATTAGCCTGCACCATCACCCGTTATCAAGGGAGAACCGTTAAATACCATAATTTGAGCCGATTTGAATACTGCTGCACACCCAGGCGGTTCACTGTTCACTGTTTTTTTTTATAACGTGGTGTTCCAGCTCCAGCCTTTAGAGTCCCTTCATTATACCGGGTCATTTGTATTCTCTTTCTCATTCCCTCTGACCTGCTCGTTTTGCATAATGCCCGTCCCGTTTGAGCTTGTTCTGTACCAGCCGATACATATGCATGCACGGCGTTAAAACAGTGACACGGGTATTGACAAAAGAGGGTTATGGAGCCATTAGAGGGACCAGACAGTGCTCTTGTTGTTGCTTTGACCTGCAGAGAACCAGGGCCTGCCACCGCCTCTTCATCTCTGCTGCTCCCTCAGGTCGCGCCGTCTCTGGATGCGAGGCCCAGCCACTGACTCATCGCTCTTACATTGGCCTCGCAGACATACAAGCAGATAGCCATTTGTCTGCTTTTTTTTTTTTTTTCTCCCCGTCCCTCTGACAGCATGTCCGTGTGTGTGCGTGCATTGTGTCTCTGCTTTCAGAAAGACAGATAGAGATATATAGATAAGCTGACAAGCAGAGAAAGAGAGGGGTGGGGGAGGGGGAGGGGGCCGAGAGAGAGAGAGAGAGAGCGAGGCAAGTAATGCATTTTGTGGGTTTATCTGATTTGTGTGTTGGTGTGTGCTACTGTTTTTTTTTCTTTTGCTTGTTTTTTTTCATATAAGCACAGCATCTTTGTTTCTGTTGCCTCTCCATCGCTCTGTCTCATGATTTGTTTTCTCTCTCTCTCTCTCTCTCTCTCTCTCTCTCTCCTGTTACCTAGAAGAGGACCCTTTGCAGCCAGTGACCTCAGATGAAACGGTGTCTGTGGGGGGCACGGTGACACTGACCTGCCACGTGCCTGAGAGCGACAACTCCTCGCTGCAGTGGTCCAACACTGCGCAACAGACCCTGTACTTTGGAGAGAAGAGAGGTAAGAGCGGGGCTGGATGTAGAGAAACATCAGGGGGGGGGGGCAACAAGATGAACCATAAAAGAGTCAATAAGGAAAACACTCTCTCCCACATGATACCTTTAAAAAATGATAGCCAAATCTGTGTTATGGGGGAACATAAACGCTGTCAAGATTTTATTCCATGGATGTCGATGTCTTCTTAATATAATGGAGCTTAATTCATAACAATACGAGTTGCTTCTCTGGCACATAAACCACAAAATGTTTCTACACTTCGGGCTTCACTATCCACTGAATTACACCGTAGTGTTTCTCACACTGGCCTCGTCATGGGTGTCGACTTTAAAGGAACAATATGTCACTTTTCAACCTTCAAAGTCAATCCAATAGTACAATAACTTCCACGAGGGAGAGCTGTGTTTCTCCCATTTCAACAGAGCGCCTCGCTTGTCTGCTTGAAGCACTATGTAACTTTGGCAGCGGGCCACGGTTCTCTATTGGAGAAGTGCTTACAGCTTTAAGGGAATAGATGTTACACACACACCTGATGTCAGCAGTGGAGAAGCCAGTTAGCCTGAGTCTGTGCTCTTTGATACAATAGCAGGGGCTAAAAAAATGAAGAGGATGATGACGGATGAAGCTAAAGAATGAATGCATGAATGAAACTTTTATTTCCCCTTTAGGAGATTTATTTTGAACCAAGAGCTTGGTAGTAAAGAGATAAAATATATCAGCAACCTTACTGCACAGCAAACAAAAATCACTTAAAATTCATAATTAAAAGCATTGCATGATTACAAGAGAGAAAGAAAAAGAGAGAAAGACAGAGTAAGAAGTCGGATCAGAGGAAATATTGGACCTTGTCCTAGTCGACGTGGTTCTTTGGCTTCTTAAACGTCTTTTCCGGTTCTGTCGAGATACTTCCATGGTGCAAAGATAGCAGAGTCTGTCCATATAGACGATTAAATAATATTCCCAGAACTGAATCACTTCAGAACACCACTGCTTGCTGCATTTGCCCTGTGAGGATACTCCACAAAAATACCTTTATTCACAGTTTTTGAGGGAAGCATTTCTCGTTTGACAAAAAGCCCATCAAAGATATTTAAATCAATTTTCTGTACTTTTAGAAAGTTTAACAAAACTTCCATGAATCTAATGTAACAGATAAAGATGTCTGCTATGTAATGATGGCCTTTGGAACAATGTTTTTTTTTGGTCACAGGGGAATTTTCTGCCGATTGACCACTGGGAGAAATATAAAAAAAAAAAGAATTCCAGTCTAAATATTGACATTCCTATGCAACAGAGATGATGAAGGGTTTGTTAGTTGGGTGTATTTAGGACATGTCTTTGAAAACAGAGATGTTTGTCAATGCTCTAAAAACAGCCGGTTAGAGCTAAAGCAGCAGCTAAGAATAGTTTGTTCAAATATTTAGAGAGTCAGAGCTACACTTCGACTTTTTCAATAGTTTTTCAACCTTTCCCCAACTTCAAAATAGAGCTTTAAGAGTTCATTAAACCTGTGAAACCTTTTAGTTTCCAGGAATGATAGCATGCACATTAAGTTAAAATACATCCTTAGATTATACATGCATAACGACTTATTTGTCATTTTAATTCTCAAGAATCTCTATGAAATCTAGATACAATGTCATGCATAAAGTAAGCCACATGTAGACATCTACATTGGACAGATCACTCATGTGAAAGTCGTTATGAGCTTCCCTGAGTGCGGTGATATGCGAGTCGACGCGGGCCGTCTTCAAATCCAAAATTGTTGGTTCAGTATGAAGATGGGCGTCTGCTCTGTAGAGATTATGTTCAGCAAATAACAGTGAGCAAAAAAAAAAAAAACGAGTGGCTGCTAACAACTATGTAACAGAAATGTCTTATGGACTACAAAAGAGACCAAAACGTTTATATTCATCACAGGCAGTTATCCCCCATTCACACAGATCAATGCTCTCTCTCTCTCTCTCTCTCGCCCACACAGATCATTAAGTGGTTGAAGAAATCAAGAATCAGAATTTGTGTGCTTCAAAAGCTCTTTCTGTATCGCTGCATGGGTTGAAAGTGCTGGAGATGCTTTTTCTTCGGCGTCTGATACGCCTGCTTATTTCAGTGTAATTTCGGTGTCACCGCTGCTATCACAGGCGGTAGACCATGCAGAGGGTACTTCCATGGGATGCTTACTGATGCAGTTACACTTGGGAGGAGTAAAGATTATATATGCGTCATGGCGAGATGGATGCATTTGCACCTTTTTTCAATATCTGGTTAGAATGCATCTCGACGAATGGCATTTCAGTCTGTTCGTTCTTGAGAGCTTCTCGAATGCATTTACACTTCTGAGATCAGATATCAGGCAGTGCATATGAACTAACAAGATGTAAATGGAGTGAACAAAATCAGAGTGGCATTACATTTTTCGACTAAACGTATTTGCTAATGCGTATTAGTTACAGAGTAATGTTGTTAAAAGACAGAAGGGTTTGCCATAAAGACGTTTGCTACTGCATCTTTGCAGAACAGGCCCTGGTAATTACTGTGTACACACTGGGTTAAAAGCTTTTGTTCAAAAGAATAAAGACCCAAACAAAGACTTTAGGAAATCAAGAAAAGCCTGCAAAACCAACATGTTTTTGTAATATTGCACGGTGCGAAAAAGTGCTCAACAAACCCGATGAATGAAAACAGTCTGATGGGATAAAGTGCAGCAGTTTGGTTTAGCTCAAACTTCAACTTTGTGAAGAAAAACATTTCCCACTTTTAATTATCCATTTGTACAACTTGACGGTGGAACTGGCCGTTACACCAAGGCCACATTTATTGAAAATCTTTTGATAAACACTTCCCAGTCGTGCAACATCGCACAACATCGCCTGCATTTTAAAGAAGAAGAAAAAGAAAGAGAGAGGACAGTTAGTGGTGGGAGAAATTTGACATTGTAAATAAGGGCTGACATTATAAATATGGAGCTTTTGATTGCTAATGATTACTTTTGACTGTGTTGGCTCGAAGCCAGGGTTCAAAACATTGTCAGGAGTGAAAAGGAGCTCGCCTGGCAGGGTGTTTGAGTATAAAAACACGGACATTACAGGGACGTTTCATTTTTCATTTTAAATGATGAAACAACACTGACGGCCCCTGAATGAAAGTCAAAATTGATTGGTTTACTTTTCGAGCTTTTGTTTTGTTTTTTAGTCTGACAAGATGGAAAAAAGATTTTTGGGGGCCCTTTTTAATGGTCTATAGCATCACACAACGATTCGGTCCTAGGGCATGACAAGAACTCAGGGAGGTAGGGATGGAGGCAGGGAGGAAGGGGAGGGTTTGAGAATCAGAGACAAGAGCGGTGAGAGAGAAAGAAAGACTTGTTGGTGCACAAATACAACACTTAGCGGCAGAAGTCGTGAAGTGATAGAAAGATGGAGTTAAGAATGGCGAGAGAAGAGATGGATGAGGCAGAGAAGTTTTCATTGCAGTGGGCCAAGATTTCTGCAACAGACAATTTGGAGAACAGAGAGGCAAGAGAGAATGAAGCTGGGGGGGTGGAGGAGGAGGTGGGGGAGGACAAATGGAGAGATCAGCAAGTCTTTTCTCCAGATGGAGCCTCAACCACAAGAGTGAGGAGAGAAATAGAAAGCGATGCTCTTCTCTGCAATGATAGAACTCTTAAAGGCTGACCTCGACTTTGGAGGGAATTGAGTAGAGTATTGGAGGAGGAAGAGGAGGAGGAAGAGGAGGAAGAGGAGGGAGTGAGATGGAGCAGAAACTCCCCACTGCAGCAGCCCCACATGCACAGCAGATGCTTTACTCTGGGAAGCAGAGAAGTTGAGAGACAGAGAGGGCAGAGGAGGATGATTGGAGCTCAGAATTCAGTCCTTCATGTCTTCACAGCAAAAGTGCAGCAGATGGAGAGGAGAGGAGAGGAGAGGAGAGGAGAGGAGATGAGAGGAGAGGAGAGGAGAGGAGAGGAGAGGAGAGGAGAGGAGAGGAGAGGAGAGGAGAGGAGAGGAGAGGAGAGGAGAGGAGAGGAGATGAGAGAAGAGGAGATGGAGGAGAGGAGAGGAGAGGAGAGGAGAGAGAGAGGAGATGAGAGAAGAGGAGATGAGAAGAGAGGAGGAGAGGAGAAAAAAGATTTTATAAATATATTGAAAGACAGTTTGAAAAAGACTTAATATTATTTTCACAGTCATGCAAGCATGAAGCTTTCATTAGTGTGTAACAGACATTTTAACCTAAAATACAAATATATAAACAAACAAAAAACTAAATGACAATTTTCTAAACTTCAGCCTCTGGACATTATCTTTTTTTTTTAGCAAATTCTTTTGGTTAATTATTTTGCAATAAATAACTCTAAATGGTTCACTTTCTGGGCAGCGTAAACACAAGACTGACACATTATGACCTAACAGCTGTTGTGGCTAACATGCTGACAACACGTCAGCAAACATGTTTACACATCCAGGGGTAAAATGCGCTGTTCACTTGCTCGTTGCTAACTTTCTCTGTTAACTGTTTAGCACTGCACTGGTAGGAGAAAATGGCTTTCTTTTATCTGCTAATTACCTGCGAGTTGAACGTACTAACAGATAATAGTGAGCGAGGACGCGAAACGAATGTGCTGAAAAGGCTATAATGCTTAATAAAGCCTTGTGGAGTACCTCTGCCAAGGAGGTTTTGTGTTCTCTGCTGTTTCTTTTTCTGTCAGAACAATGAGAAACTACTATTGGAAAGGTTTGCAAGAAACTTGGTGGAAAAGTGCAGCATGGGCTTCGGAAGAACTCTTTTAATTTGGTCTTACTCACAAACAAGGATGTATACTATGTCTGACTCCTGAACAAGTAGAACTGGTAATCAAATTCTTAATGGTTTTGGGAAATATATCCAGACAAATGTTGTGGCTTTTTTCATCAAAGTTGAGTTTCTGTCTGGTGGTAAAAAAACGTTGCGCTCCTTTGCGTTGACTCCTTTGCATTCTTATATTATTTAAGATCCAAAAATGTGAA